AGCCCAACGCGGGGCTCGAACCCGCAGCCTTGAGATTAAGAGTCTCACGCTCTACCGATTGAGCTAGCCGGGCAAAGGGAAAGAGGAAGTTGAACAGCCCAACGCGGGGCTCGAACCCGCAGCCTTGAGATTAAGAGTCTCACGCTCTACCGATTGAGCTAGCCGGGCTGGCTTGGTGATTGTCGCTTCGTTTTAGTGCTACAGAAGCCAGGGCTAACTAACGGCTGCTTTGGGTATAGTCTGGTTTTTATGTCATGTGATATGGGTTTAGATGCTTTGTATATGTTGTTAGTTACTGTCCTACAATTTGGCTTTCGATGTTTCAGATACTTTTGAGTTATTCGTCTTGCTTGAGTCACTTGGAAGGGCTTTTTTTGTGGATTGGTGATGGTGGGTTTGTTTCTCTGTAAGGTGTCGAAATATATATTGTGTGACTTGTGCATTTTCCACATAACCAACTAATAACAATAACTTCCATTAAGCTACTAGGTACAATACACCGACGTGCACCAAAATACCACAAAGTATGGTAAGACAGCCCACTATTAGAAAAATCACGTGCTACCATGAACGCCTCAGTGCAAGTACCAGATGCATACATTCACATACCCGTAGATATCGATCTGATATGATCTAGACAGACCAATAAGAAGCGTCTGCCAACTGAGATGTCGAAAGAATCGCGAAAATCCACATTTAGTACTCGTCCAACAAAGACGCGCCGTTGTAACGCGTATACGAGAGTGTATTCACTGTTTAGTGATTGCGAGGAGATATTGGGGAGGGGGGGTGGTGGGCTAATTGCCTGAGCCCTCGGATGTACCGGGCAGATGCTGTATGTACAATGACCCGCCTGCGGTGACCAACCCACTGTATCATGAACCTGACAGACCTGCAGTAGCGTCGACACTGCAACCCATTGTCTACGTGGTGCTGTCTACCCCCGAAGAAAAAGTGCGAGTTGCCTTTAACACATCACCGATTCCAAAGACAGTCCGACCATTCCGGACTAGCGCCGCGTGGGTGCACTGAAAGCCTTACTTTGCCACTCTTGTTGTCCGAACAGAGCACCAAAGTCACTCAGCCACCACTGAGGTCTGGATTCAATCAAATATTATACTCAGAACAGACCATGTTTGGATTTAGTCAAATGAAGCAATATATGCGCGCATAAAATTGCAGTGTCAATTCGAGAACTCTTATGTGCGCCACGAGTGGGGCACTAGCCCAACACAGAAGACTTGATTGGTCTCGGAAGGCCTCACTCACCATGAGTCATGTTGTACTCATTCTAAAATGCTGCACCGCCTCTCCACCAGGTGGGTCGCGGATATACCAGACTCGGCAAATGTATAGATATCAAAATTGTTTAAATGGGGATGGATTCCTGCATGTCGCCGACAATCAACAACAGTGTCATTTCAAGGACTCATCGCATAGTCGCAAGCTCAGGCAGAACCCACACATTCTCCCCGGATCGACTATCAAGTGATCAATGCCACTTGTACAAACAACATCCTCAGCTCACCACAATAGAATGGAGTTTCCCAGCCAACAATATCCCGTACCAGCAGGGGTACACATCATCCCAGAACATCTCCTGGACCTCCGTTCCGACTCCGAAGTCGACCATGACCTCCTCCACCCTCGACCCGTTACAGACGAGAAAAATATCTGGCTCTTCTGGCACAGCGGCTACTCCACCATGCACCCATATACAAAGCGAAACGTGCGCGCCTGGCACCGGCGCTTCTCCAAAGCCGGCTGGGTCGTACGTGTGGTCGACCGCGAACCGTCTTCGCCTCTCAACATAGCCAACTTCATCGACATCAATGACACGGACAACTTCCCTCGCGCATTCGCCGAAGGCACCATCAGCGGTACCTACGCGAAGCAGCACACATCCGACCTTGTTCGCCTACCTCTACTCCTGAAATACGGCGGTATCTACGCCGACGTCGGACTGATCCAGATCGGCGACGTGGATCGATTGTGGCGCGAGACGGTCGGAAACCCGGACTCGCGGTTCGAGGTGCTCTCCTACAATGCTGGCGATGTCAACGAGCGCAGCCTTACCAATTACTTCCTCATGTCGAGACGCAACAACCCGCTATTCGACCGGTGTCATCGTCTACTGTTGAAGTTGTGGGAAGGAAAGACGTGTACAGATGGGATGCATCGAAGTCCGCTGTTGAAGGAATTGTCGTTCCTCACTGGAACCGGTAATTTGACAGAGCAGCAGTGCAGAGAGTTGACGGATTATATTATCCAGGGACAGGTGATGACTTTAGTTATGGGCTTAGTCGACGAAGAAGATAACTGGGATGGACCGAAGTATGTCGCGGAGCATGTCTACGGAATTGAGTTCATGCAGGGGTCGCAGCTGATCAATGACATGACTGGATGGGATGGTCGGAAAGCATTCGAGCTCATGTCGTTGCCGCTGCCCAAGGAAGGCGAGGAGGAAACCGCAGAGCAGAAGCGGGCGAGGGAAATCGTCGAGGCATGTCTGACGAAGAGTTTTGGGTTTAAGCTCGCTCACGGATACATCCTGGAGGTGATGAATGTGACACTGGGGTCGTTGTGGAGGGAGAATGAGGGATCAGATAATGTACCCGGGACGTATGCGCATTGGCTCCGGCATGCAATCGTGCATTGGAGTCAGGATGCACTTCCACCGACACAGGAGTACACTGTGCTTCCGCCGATTAAGAGGGGACCGCTATTGCGGGAAGAGTAGATAGACACCATGATACCAGTATAGATAGCATCCACTAGACACACAATGCATAGACCTGATAAAACCATTCCTACCCCTCAAATGCCTAAAAGAAAGAATCACCGCAATAGCCTTACATCCCAAACCGGCTAGCCCACACCCACCACACGCCACACTCACGTGCCAAAACCATCAGCACCAGCCACACCTTACCTAAGCATCACGACCTATCAAACAAACAAGGCCACCTAGACCATCCATACATACAAAGCACAAGCACGTCACCACCAACCCTCACAACCCCCCAACACAGCCATGCTATCCGGAATCCAAAATGTACGGCAAACAGCCATCCAGCTGCTCAACTTCGGGCTGGTCCTGAGCACTGCATTTATGGTACGATACCTTCAATCCTTCCCCATGACAAACTACCATCGGGGAAAATAAATACACGATCGCAAGATCAATTGCTTACAGACACTAACACTCTGGTGGAAATCTACAGATGTGGAAAGGCCTCTCGGTCCTCACCAACTCCCCCAGTCCGATAGTAGTCGTCCTCAGTGGCTCCATGGAGCCCGCTTTCCAGCGCGGAGATCTCCTCTTCCTCCGGAATACGCAACCGACGCTGAACGTTGGAGAAATCGTGGTGTATCAGGTCAAGGATAAGGATATTCCGATTGTGCATAGAGTGGTGAGGCAGTTTGGTGAGGGGTGAGTGTATTCCCCCAGTCGGAATATATTCGTTCCAGATATGATGGAACTTGGAGTGTGAGCGCAGCATGCTAATCAGGTTATGGTTTGAATCATGCAGATCCGAAGCCAAGCTCCTCACGAAAGGCGACAACAATATCGCGGATGATACGGAACTCTATGCGCGCGGACAGGATTACCTCGATCGGGACGATGTCGTGGGAAGTGTGTTTGGGTATATTCCGTTTGTGGGGTATGTGACGATTCTTCTGTCGGAGCATCCGTGGTTGAAGACGGTTATGTTGGGGGTTATGGGGTTGTTGGTGCTTTTGCAAAGGGAGTAATGGGGTAGGAGTTAGTTTTCTGGATCTGGATTCTTTCTGCCTGGTTTGTTTGTCAGGGTATTTTGGGTTTTGGGGTTAGCTGGGTTAATAAATGCATATTGGGTTGCGGTTCATTTAGGTGCGGTTGTGTTGTAGGGTGGTTGTAGGTTTGGTGCTGGAGTGTGTTCGGTTGGAGGCAGATTGTGGAGCAGTAACTGGTTAATGATGCGATCGGGAATAAAACAAAGCTACTTAGTATGCTTTGTCGGAGGCTTGGCCAGATTGATTTCCATCTGCATCAGACCTCGGTCGACAACAGGACATCTATGACATGCTTGACTGCTATCAGCAGTAGATCAGTGACACCAACTATGGCTGTTCACATGATATCATGTGGTCGCTAGTCTAGAAGACATGGGCAATTTTCACCTGCATATGACACTGTATAAAACCCCGGCACCTCAGGAAAGCGAGAGTGCCTTACACTAGACTAAGACGTCAGTGACCGCCCAATTCATGATATCAGTGACCTTTAACTTCTGCCTAGTCTCGCCATAAATATCTCACCCGCTGAATAACAGCCTTGAACCTCGCAGTGGCCACTGAAACACGCCCCGACCGGACACACTCGGAACCAGATTCCCTCACAACCGGCTCTGCTCATACACCCAAAGTCAATTCAAGCTGCACAGCTCACTCCAGATTGCTACATGAGGCAATATGCTGGAGCTCATCTTGCCACAGCGGAAGTTTGAGCTTGTATATCCATAGTGTGGGAGGTAGTAAATCAGGTTTCCAACATCTCATGACGACTGCATCTGGGGTATGTGATGAGTATACTGACATTTCTCTAGTAGTGTGCAATATACTGCGTAATCGCTGAGTCTAGACACCCAGCCCAGTTTACGCTAGTTCACATTGATCGCAACAAGCAAGACACTAGCCTAGTGTCATCCAACTCGCACCGCTTATTCTTCGCCACACCCCAAGATTTTCTGCCAGGTCATCAATCTTGGCCACAAACTCCATGGCTGAACTCAATTGCAAAGTGTGAGCCTCGCAAGCAGGATCGGTTCGCCTCGAAGTCCAATCCAATTTGAATATTCGTGGATGTCAACCAAACAAACACATACTGTGGAGAGAGCAACGCTGAAGCAGGTTAGCAGCAGCTATTAGAATTGCCGCACAAATGCCATGCATTGGCACAAGTTGTGTGCTGGTTCCACCTGCTCTTTCTGGGATAAACAAACGACACTAAAAGTGTCCAGATCTACTTCCTCCCCATCCACAAGCAGAACAACAGACCCTCGTGAAAGAAAATTCTTTGACCCCGTTGGAAGGATACCGTCCATGGAATTCTCGGCAACAGGACGCTGGGTCGTCAGGAACACCGCGCACAGGGCGACGCCCTCAAAACGTGTGCTGCCCCGCCAAGGAGCAGCTGCTTTCCCTCTTTGAGAAATCCAAGCTATTGACCCACGGTTCTATCTCGCCCAATAACCGCTGACTGTGCATGGATTCTGTAGGCGATGTTTTGCCATTGGTCGGAACGGATGCTCCCCTGGACCGGTTACATTTTCGCCCAATGAGCGTTGTTGGTTTGCCTGAGGGCGGAACCACTGCTTGCGTGCATTGGGTTCGAGCCCCTGGCCCAGAAAGGTAAAACCATGGTTGATGGTGACAATTCGTGGATTGATTATTTTTGTGAATTCTTCTTTTGTGGGCTTTATTCCTGTCTTGGCTGTGAGGGCTTTGTGCGCTGCTGGTAAGTTGAGGGTGAATAGGGGCTGGATGGGTGTAGAAGCAGATTACCGATGGTTGAAGGTGAGTGATAGAAGGGGGAAGCAAAGACCAGTTGGACAGACAGAAAACAGATACGCTTGGCCAAACCACTGTCAACGAAAATAGTGCGTACTAACAGCTCCACCAGGCTATAGGAAGCCCAGTTTTCTGAGCAGTTTGTCGTCCACCCCACTCTAGATTGGCGTTTTCTTTGATCCTTTCGCCCGCTTTGCTTCTTACTGAACAGGCACAGTCTCATGCATCAGCCTTGTGGCCGTTGAAACTGAAACAGCCCAGTTCTCACACACATACAATGGAAGTAACAGCCTCAAGCCACTTTTTGAGGCATGAATTGACGGCAGTCACACACGCATGAAACAGCCGATACCTTTGGCTGAGATTTCAAACAACTCTTCTCATGTCAAACCTATTCCCCCCACCACCAAGAAACCCTAATCCACTCCTCCACCGACCACAGTCCAGATTCATGGCAGTGGATGCTCTAAACTTCATCCCAAGCCAATGTCCAGCCAATGGGATTACTTTGCTTGCCATGACTTCCACAATGGCTTGTAGACCCTCCACCGCGTCAACCACCCTCCACTACCTCAATCCATGGCATCCAGGCTGACGCACCCTATCCCCTCCCTGTTCTGGACACATCCATTATTTCAGTTCCAGAAGAGAGACAGCCATGGCACGCCCATCAGCACAGGTATATAGACCTCGTCTTCTTCTCCCATATCCTTCCTCTCAGAACACTCAGGAAACTGTGATTCCCAACTACCACACAGTCTTTACATACCAAGACTCCGTCGTACTCTTTCGATAGGTGTACGACATCCATTCCTTACATTCACACTATCGTTATACACACTCGCTCGACGCGACACACACACTCTCTACATACACTCTCTTAAACCAACAAGAAAGATGTATTTCACCACCCCTCTCCTGCTGCTGGCAGCTGCTCTCCCCAGCGCCCTCAGCCAGCCGACCCCCTCCAAGGTCCAAGGCCACTCCCGTCGCCAGATCGACATCTCGGCCTCTGCCTCGGTTTCCGTCTCCGCCCCCTCCTCCAGCTCCAGCTCCAGCTCCACCAGCAGCGCCAGCTCCAGCGACTGGACCTCCACCCCCAGTGACGGCGACTACTCCACCTCTGGCTTCGGGTCCGAGACCTCCGCCTACGGCAGCGGCGACACCTACATCGGCAACGTCGGCAACCCGTGGGGCAGCAACATGGTCGAGGTGTCTGCCTCCGAAGCCTCCAACTACAAGTACGTCATGCAAGTGACGGGCCAGAACACCGAGGACTGGACCGTTGTCTTCTGGAACAAGTACGGCCCCGACGGCAAGATGGACGGCTGGTACGGATACTCCGCTCTGTCCTTCACCCTATCCCCCGGTGACACCAAGTACGTTGCCTTTGATGAGGACACCCAGGGTGCATTCGGTGCTGCCCAGGGCTCTTCCCTCCCCACTGGTAGCAGCGGCGGATATGCTTGCACCTGGGGTGAATTCGACTTCGGATCCACTGCCAACGACGATTGGTCTGGATTTGATGTCAGCGCTATCCAGGCTCAGGACAATGATATGAGCGTCCAGGGTATGCAGATCTGTGATGCTCTGGGCTCCACTTGCTCCAGCATGACGGCTGATGCCGCCGAGGTTGACAATGCTTATACTTCTGCTGAGACTGATGTGGGTGGTATTGGTGGAAACCTCTCTGCTGGACCTGTTCGGTTGGCTGTTGTCATTGACTACAGTGGTTAAACGGTTTATATAGACTAGAAATGGAGTGATGGTTTTTTTCATATACCAGGAGTGAAATGTAGTGAAGTGTAGAGTGCACGATCAATGTAGATGTGTACACAGGCTTATCGGGTGGCTGATTATGGCTGAGGCGGATGGCGGATGGCTGATCGCGATTTCTTCCGCCATGGCGACAGCTAATAACGCCACGATTTAGTTGTCGATCATGTCGATCTTGATGATCTTTTCACGACCTCATCTATATCGATGCAGAGTATTTCTCAATTGTTCTAGCCAGTTTTGAAATTTTGTAGTGGTGCTTAGTGGTGAACGGATTGAACTTACATTACATTAAAAGCACACCCAACTCCCTCCCACCATAGTGATAAACACCGGCTCAAACCCACACATAGCATCTCACGGTCTCTCCATAAAATTGATACACAATGAAGAACAGCCGGCAACAATTAATAGAGAAAATAAACGCACCTGCCGGGAACCAACACTTCAAATACTCACTCACTCTTCTCTATTAG